CATCCTAAGTGGCGTGACTTATGAATAGAGATGAAAACAGTTGCTTGAAACAGAAGGAAAGCTTAGAAATTATAAATGTACCCATAAAGAAACTATATGAGAAGATGGCAGTGCTTTAACCAATCCCTGAAAAGAGAGAAAATAGAGATGAAATCAACTGAATTATCTCCAAATCCAAAACATAACCTAGAAACAAATTACGGACCGAATCATGAATTACCTTTGTGGCTGAATCAGAACAAACCCTCTTCAAGAGATCAGAACCGGAAACCATTACAACACGACGGAGGAAATCCATTTTCTCACAATTGTCAAACCCTAAAATTTTACTGACACCCTCTCCTTTTAATATTGAGAACGCATGCAAGGTTGGGATTTACCGCTCTCATTTTTGGCCCATTCACAACTCTATTTTGGCCCATTAGCAACTAAATGTGAGTCCAGACAGTGTAGAATCATGAATTTCCTTCTGATTACTTTCCCGAAATTTTTGTTTTTTTTTCTACAACCATAACACAACTAAAAATTTGATGTTTTAGAGTTTACACACATATTAAGAAACAATCATGATTTAATCATTTAATAATTTTTTATTTTTATTAAATATTTTTAATAATGTATGAACCAATAGTAACCTACAACAGTTAATTATTTGTAATCATTATGCCTTGAAATCTACTATTTGTTAATATCAATTAATGAAAAATAAAATAAAAAGCTAGAAAATCAATCTTTGTGGAACAAACCTAAAACACTAGAACATCAAACTTTCAGGAACGGAGGGAGTATATTGACTAATATTGTTATAAAAAAATACTCACCAACTAAAAAAGTTTTAGTAGATAAATAAGTTAAGTTATAAAAATATATTTATTCTAAGTTATAAAACTTTGAAATAAAACTATTTTACTTATTAGAACAGCACAACTACCAAGACATCAAAAAGAAAAACTAGCTTAACTACCCAAAAATTCTAGTTTACAAACACTAAAGGCAAATTTTATTTTTCAACAAATTTCCCATTAAAAGAAAATTCCATGCAAGAATGTATCCAAATGGAAAAGATCCCTATATATTTTCATATAGTTTTTGTAGGGAAAAAGGTTTTATAAATAGTAAAAAAAGAAAAAAGAGAGAGACAAAAAAAAAGAGAAACAAAAAAAGCCGGAGGGGATGGAGCACATGAGGTAAAAGGCAAGAGATGGCAGAGAGAAGATCAGAGAAGGGATCTGCCTCAATTTGACAACTCATATGTCATGTCATTTCCCTCACTATTATTTTTCTATTTTTAAATACTTTTCTCTGATTCCATCAGCATTTACCTTTTTTTTTTTTTACTGTGTTTGCTCTGTTTCACATTCTATATTTTATACTCTTTTTAGTATTTTCATTGAATATTTATTTTTCCTTAGAATCAAAATTCTAAAATGTGGTATATCATTCATTGTTAGGTCGTGAGGGACATGCAATATTATGAAGGATGATTAATGTATGTGGATCCATCACAAATATTATTATTGAGGGTTGATCAGAGACAAAATAATCGGATTCGTCTAAGTAATAAAAAAACAAATGCGTTGTTAGGTCATTTTTTTATAAACATGCAAGTATTAGTTATAAAATCGTTGCAAAATTATGTTTACAATTAGGGCAACCAATTTACATCAGAGAAAATTCGAACTTACGTGTTCATAATCTTGGATCGTGAATTTAGTCACTATCAGTTTTGGAAAAAAAGTGTATGTGATTAATCATAAACATGCCCTAACTCAAACTTGAAAAACACAACACTAAAAGTTCTATCAAATTTTGAATGTAAAGAAAGAAATATTGGGCAAACAAACGGTCAAGTAATCATAGACATCGATGTAATAGTTTTTGTTATCTTTCTAAGCAGGCCCATCCAAGGCCCACCACTAGTCTCCTATCAACATACTTTTCTTGTTTTGGTTAAATCAACCTACCATGTTGGCTGTACTCTCCGCTTCCTCTGTCTAAAATGTAAGATCCACACACACTACCGCGTAATTTCTTGAATATTATTATGAGAGTAATTTAGTGTCATGAGTATCGAATTTTATTCAGCTTAATTTTCTGGAGAAAGATATTATGATATATAACTATCTTTGTAGTGATTTTTATTTTGAAAATTCTCTTCACTTTTTTGTAGTTTAACATTCTAATTTTATGAAAACTTTCCATGACGAAATGATACAATATAAAATGTATTGACTTAATAATGATATGTCTTGCGACGAAATTCCTCCTTTTCAACTATTACACATAATGCTATCCAATGCATTATTTAGTATAGTATAATAGTATTACAGTATCACTATTACAACAATAACGTTATTATTATAATATTATATAGACCTAAGACCTTAGTGACATCATATTATAGAAAACATGTCGTTGCCTAATTTGTATAAGCTAAGATACTTGAGGGTGCTAAGAGTGACTAGTAGATGCAATAATAAAAGAGTGAAAGTTTTGTCTGCCTGATTATAGACGTCGGAGAAATACTAAAATACGCTTGGAGATTTTGGTGCATGGTAGCAAAAAAAAACGAAGATTGTGAGTGAGTAGTGGTAGTCGGATGTGATGGAACAAAGAAAAGTATTTTTGGTAGGGTTATGAGAGAGAAGGGGACCATTATTACATGCTTTCCCCAAAAGATACCATTCCCATTTTCTGACACGTGTCCCCTCATCCTCAATTACTCATACGTCAAATCCAATTTTTAACCTCAAACTTTTTTTTTCTTTCTGGTTTAGCCAAATCTATTATACTGTGATTAATTTTTTCAATGGCAAACATTTTTCAAAAGTGGGTTTGTTAGACCAGTACAATTAAAATCTTCTAACCTTATAAAATTAATTGATTATTTAAAGTTTTGTTAACTTGTTTTTAGAACATATAAAAATCTATTAAAAAAAAAAAACTCTTTTTTCTTGCAACATTAGTGACCTCTTAATCTCTCTTATCATAGCAAAACTTTAGTTTCTCATCTCTATTTGATCGTAATTGTGAAAATCTCCATTCTTTAAAAATATTTTCCATGTTTAATAATATGCTGTTTCAAAATATAAGGGTTTGAAAACTAAATTGACAAGTTTTAATGTTAACTATTTTTATGCTATTAAAATTATTTTCCTTATGGGTTTAGTCATTAGTGGAAATGTTTACGTTACTCAAATTTGGACATAAACTTCTAAATGTTTGGGAGAAGGAAGGATGGAGCATTATTTTTCTGAATGGTTAGTTTTTCTTCTAATCATTTGACAAGTAAATGATTTTTCTGAAATATAAAACTAACAAATTTAATAAAAATATAATATTTTCAGCCACTATAGTACAATTCGCTTTTGTAGTTTGGTGTTCTCTTTTTTCATTTAAATTTAAAGCAATCTACATTTGATTGTCAATATTTCTCATATAATGTTATTGAGAAATGAATTTTGAGATCCCAATGTAAAAAAGGAAAATTGGATATAAAGGACAAATAATTAAACTATTGTCCATCTATCCATTCTATATTCAAATGTCACATATTCCTAATATACCCTTTGTAATTGATTTAACCAATTTTTCAAATAAAATTCAAAATAGTTTGTAGGCAAATGATAAAGAAGTCATGGGGATAATTATAAAATCAAAAATATATCGTTTTGCTTACCGTTTTCGATGAATAAAATATGATCTACGAAATTTAGACTACGCCTTCTGAATTTAGAATGTGTATTCTATATATTGTACATGTTCTATAAAATTTAGATAATATATTCTATGCACTCTACATGTTCTAGAAAATTTAGAACGCATTTCTGTTCTACGGTATTTAGAATGCTAAATTCTACGAAATTTAGAATACATATTCTATATTTTGCTCTTTCTTCTAGAAAAATTAGAATATGTTTTCTAACATTTACCCATGTTCTAAAATTGTTAGAAAACACATTCTTATATTTTTCTATATATTCTACCAAAAATAGAAATCAAATTCTATGTAATTTAGAATTTTTTTTAAAAAAGAAAATAAATTATAAAATATGGAAATCGAATATAAAAAGTTAAGATTACGAAACTACAAAACTTTTTCGTGAAAAATACGTAACATGAGTGAAACGTGTTGCTCTACTTACACAAAATACAAAATATGTAATATAACCAAACTCAATTATAAACTAACAAAAGTACCAAATTTGTGGAAAATTGTGGTTTACTATAGGCGTAATATTTGAAAGTGACTAACATAAAAGTGAATTGACATGTAAAAAGGTTGCATAAATCATTGTGTGTTTGTTTTTCACTCAATCTCTATTATATTAGAATCTAGTTGTGGAGGTTCATACTTTGCCATTCGGTCATGAACACATGAGCAAATGTTATTTCCCGTAGATCATCTACAGGTCTTTGATGTGCATGTATATGTTGACATCGTCCAACATATCGATGGGCAGTCCCAAAAGAGAAAATTATAGAAGAAGTTGCCGAAAAAAATAGAAGAAAAAGATGCCGTAAAAAAATTATCTACGACAAAAAAAAATTAGAAAGTAATTAAATATTATTTTTGTCGTATATTTTCTCCAAATCATTTTTAGAAAATAATCTAATTAATTTTGGAATGTTATAGTTTAGCAAGCTTTAACAAAAAAAACTGGGGATATAAATGGAATTTTAATTATGTCAAAGCATATATGACCAATTTTAAAGCATATATAACTAATTAGAAATATAGAATGCATAAATAGACAATAATTTAATTATTTATTCTTTATATCCGGATTTCCCATGTAAAAATATAATCCTAACAAAATGTTTATAATATTGGCAATGGCAACAACAAACTAATGGAATTTCAACTTTTCACCTCCACGCGCCTCTTGTCAGAGTTTTTTTTTTTCCCCCACTTGTGATGTAAAAAGGGGAAAAACGTCTGCGTCTCAGTCGGTAAACTTTTTCTCTCTTTTTTTTATTCTTTAAAAGATTTATTTTAATTTTGCCGTCTCTGTGGTCTAATCGTGTACGTCGTC